AATACTATGTAGTGATTAGAATATTTTTATAGAAATGTTTTCATAACAGATGGTAGAATGAACCAGGAACGATGTATCTTTGTAAGATTTTTATAATAACTATCGTGAGACATACTAAATTAACTAAAAATCGCAGGTTACTCACGTGACTATACTGAGAAAAGCTCTACTAGTTTCCAACCACAGAGGGGTTCTTTCTCATGAGCAGCGTGCGCGTCGTGTAGGCGGCGCTACAACTGTGTTGAGGGATTGAGCCGCACAATTAAGTTTGTTTTTCATGTATATTATTTTTTCGGGATAAAAGTGCCCAGTGTTGTGCCCAGGATATTAGAGTTTAATTATACCAAGTTCCATCGTAATCGGACCGGTAGTTTTTGCATGACGCGTGAACATACAGGCAGACAGACAGACAACAATTTTTTTAATCACTTTTTTTGGGCCGGTATCTATCTAGTAACACCTTCGACTATTATTATTTTAATATTTTCGTTGTAAATGTTTTACACTTCTACAATTTTATTATATTTACCAAGATTGAAGATATTTGATATACCTATGACTTTAAACTCACTCATCTTAAAACAAACTGGTCCAAAATTAATGTTACATGACGTATAATATGACATATTAGAGGTATATGAACTCAGCCCATTCCTTCGAGGATTAAAAGCAATGGCGTTCCATGCCTTAGTGGAGCCCCGTATAAAAAATTGTTTTGGGCCCTTATGAAAAGTAAAGATTTCTTATATAAGTATATAAACTAAATGAAATCTGTGAAAACCAGAAAACTATCCAAATTATCGGACTATGATTATTTATTTTTTATTAGATTATTAATTTAGTTTTCCTGAAGTTTCTGCCATACTTTAAACGCTTGCTTTAAGTGGGTAAAGAAATAATTTATTATAACTTTGTGATTATTCAAATAAAATAAAGTAAAATAAAAATTGGAACGTTTTTATTAATTTTTGCTTACACACATTACCCCGTAGTCCAGGGACCCATAGACCAGAAGCACCATAGTCCAGGAGCCCCATTTACCAGGGGCCCCATAGACCAGGAGCCCTGTACTTCAGGGGCCCCATAGACCAAAGCCCCGTTGTCCAGAGACACCGTATAATTATAAAAGATACGGCGATAAAAAAAAACACACGACTGTCCAAGCACATACAAAATTCCTATAAAATAGGCTACAGATTAAACCATCCGCCGAAACTAGTCTCAAACATCTTTACTTCTTATTTTCTTTGTTAACGGAAATTTGGCCGCTAGATCAATGTTCATTAAGGTGATCATCAATCACTTTTTGTTCCAATTTAATTTCACGATTCATTTGTTACGACTTTCTCCTTATTTCTCCGTATTATTGTTTAGGTAGCCTTGTTTGTTCAGTGGCTGTAGGCTTAATTAAAATAGTTAGTTTTTATGTCTATCTCATTGGCCGAGTGGTCGCAATTGCCACTGCTGCGATTCCTGGGTCGGGGAAAAGTAATACATACATACATAACATCACGCCTGTCTCCTATGGGGGTAGGCAGAGACTAGGGAACGCCAATTGCTACGATTCCTACATACCTCTTTCGCTTCATCATCAGTCATCAATCTTTTCATGCATGCTCGTCGGTTAAGGGTACTTTTGATTTGGCCCTTCTTTAATATATCGCCAATCTAGTCACTATATGTCCGTCTAGGGCGCCCTCTACCGACGGCCCCATTCATGTCAGCTCTGTATACTTCTTTCGTTACTCTAAAAATACTGAGTTAAAAAAAACTCAGTAGTAATACGGAGTATATGGCAATAGGCTCACCCCCTATTACATGGGACTCATAACATAAATAGTGAAAAGTGGGTGTTACATTGTACAGAGGCATATTGTAATCTGCACCTTTGCCTATCCCTTCGGGGACAAAAAGCGTGATGTTATGTATATGTATGTAAGTATTTTTTTTAAGATATAATGATCGTCTTATAGGCAAAAAGAAGGCAAAGATTCATAATCCATTCCTAATAATGCATTGAAACCGACCAAGCATAAAATATAACTGTACGACAGCCTATCTATTTCACACTCATACATATGTATTACATAATGTACGTAGATATATTATAATACCACCTTTTTCAGTAACTCTTCTATTTAATGTAAATGACAAGGTCGTCTCAAGGTCACACACCTGAATCCAATGTATGGAGATAGGAAAGCCTCACAAAGCCTATCTTCAGTCGTTTCAGTGCTTATTCAGATGATAGGTATATTTTTCAGCGGTGATTTATGTATTTTTTTAAGTGTGAGTATAGTTTTAAGTTATTTTGATATAAACCTCTTATGAAGGCGGTTTTTTCTAGCTATATAGCATTTTGAATTGTCTCATTTAAAGTATCTTTTGCCTCAAAGAATGTAAGAGTTATAAGATTGAAAATATTACTCAAGTATTGCAGATTTCAAATTCTCTTCAGTATCCTGAAAACTGTTGTGACCTTTAACATTATATTAGACAAAATAAAATTCATGTGGCTTACAATGCATTCTTCATTCATCATTTGACTGTGGGGGAGCTATGCTTCCGCACGAATGGGTCGGTTCGACTGGAGTGATACCACGGCCTCAGGCCTCACAGAAAACCGACGTGAGACAACGCTTGCGTTGTGTTTGCGATCAATTCGATCGTTTCGTCGTTTTGGTGATTCGTCGTTTGGTTACTGGTGCCAAATTATCCCCCCTTCCCAATCTCCTCAATCTCTGAATCTCCAACAATCTTTAAATTCCTAATCCCCAAAAGGCCTCTGGGGTTCCAAGTGTCCATGGGCGACGCCGATTGCTTACCATCAGGTGATCCGTCCGCTTGTTTACCGGCTTATCCCACAAAAAAAAACATTAGGTATTAATTCAATAATGTTAAAACGCAATAACACTCGGAATTTTTCTTCTATTTAAAACAAAATTCATTAAAGAAAAAAGGACATTCCATTTGGATAAAAATAAATTCTTGGAATAAAGTAACTCACGCACTGGACTGCATTTTAAAAGAGTCAGCTGAAACAGGCAGTAAATTGAAAAGCTTTCTTTTTACATATTCCAGTAATATAAATAGCTAGACTAAACTGCACGGTTGGCGCGATGGCTGGACAACTGGTTACCGTGCAACGTGTAGCGGGTTCAATTCCCATACGGAACAACTCTTTGTGTGATCCACAGATTGTTATTCCGGGTCTGTGTGTCATGTGTATGTGAACGCACCCACGGTACAAGAGATGTTTTTTATTTATTTATTTATGTCCACACATTCAACACAGAGGACAATACATATATAAAAACAGAGTACATAGGCCCCACATATTCCACCTGGAATTTCTTCCTGTGGGCCTGTGGCAGGAAAAGAAATAACAACACCGAGACACATAGTGTGTTTTAAAGTGACACTAGGATTTTACTCTTAAAAAGAACAAGATAATAAATGTTTAAACTTGATTACATTTGAAGTCTGCTCCTTAGTAATTTTGAAAATCATACACCCATCTAACCATGACGAAGTACCAGCCACTTACTGTTCCACTTCGTTTACCCATCAAAAAGCGTTTCCATCTTGAATATAAAGAAGTATAAAGAAGAAAAAGATAACACGAATAAGGAAAATAAGGCATAAATCTTAATAAAAATCCTCTCGATCCATTACTGTTTGAGAGTTCCTAACTAACTTGTCTTAATCTAGACAATCTAAGATTTCCTTATGAGATAAACTTACTTTATACAACTTTTTTTATACTTCTTTCTACTTTGTTAGTTGCTTTAAGTTAGGATAGTTCTATGATTTACTAGCTGTTGCCCGCGACTTTTTGTCCGCGTAGAATATGATTCCTGTTTTTTCTCATGGGAGAATTTAATCAAGAAAAAAGTATTCTACCACCAAACCTAAGTCTGCCCACACTTTGCCTTTTTTCTAACATAACATAACATCACGCCTTTTGTCTCCGAAGGGGTTGGCAGCAGCCACAAACAGGAAAACACCTACTTTTCACTATTTATGTTATGAGTCCCATGTAATAGGAGGTGAGCGTATTGACATATACCGGGCACAATTCCAAACTCCGTGCTACTACTGAGATTTTTTTTTAAAACCAAGTAATACTTTGCCCGGCCTGGGAATCAAACCCGAAACCCCTTGCCCGGCAATCGCACTTGCGACCACTCGGCCAACGAGGTATCCTCTCTCTTTATTAAAATACTAGCTTCTGCCCGCGACTTCGTACGCGTAATCCCATTTTTTCCCGTCCCCGTTCGTGATTTTCGATAAAAAGTAAAACAAAAAAATTGGTTAAAGAGTATCCTATGTCGGTCTCCTGGCTTTAAGCTACCTCCCTACCAATTTTCAGCCAAATCTATTCTGCCATTCTTGAGTTATAAGAGGTGTAACTAACACGACTTTCTTTTATATAATTATAAGATAACAAGAGTCGTTAAATTTAAAAGGGAATAATTATGCCAGACTCATCGCGACCATGAGAATTATTATAGTAGCAAGAAATATTAGGATCTGTCCAAACTACATACGAACTTATAGAGCTTAACAGCACCGTCACAGTATGGATTGGACAGAATGAACTGAAAAGCCTCTATTTCTGCACGATTTTCAGATTGTAAATGATCATCCGATTTTGAAATTAAATAATTTTCTGAAGTATTTGGTAGAAAAATATTGTACATATAAATAAATATTGTATTTAATTAAAGATTCTGGGAACTGAACTCACTTCCAGTACTGTAGAATACAAACTTTCCTAGAAAGATTGTAGTTAACTTGCTAGTATTGGGAATATAATAGCGAAATACGAGAAGCAACATTAGAAATTAATCTCCAAACCTTATATCTACGTACCTAAGACCACAAAACTACAAAAAAAGAAACCAAACCAACATAAGACAAGTATTAACAAAACCTAATTGTTTCAGAAAGGAAAACTTTCCTGCATCCGTACCGAGTCTGAATCCGGATCGGACAAGATGTCGTTACGACAATCAGCTTCGAAGCAGATGTCTAAAAACTCGACAGCACATAGCGACTGCTCATCGCAAGACCACAAATGCCCCTGCTGCTTCAGACCAGAGAAAAAGAAGAAATACAGGACAAAAGAAAAAGAATCTCGATTCTACAACAACGATGTCACTTTCAAAGCGAACTTTAAATATAAAAACACTACAAGACGGACGCATTCAATGAAAGAACATGTAGAGAATAATCGAGTCTCTTCTTTAAGAAGAGAGACTAAAACTGCGCAGACTTTGAGCCTTGTGGTCGGAGGATTTGTTGCCTGCTGGCTCCCATTCTTCCTATACTATCTCCTGACTCCATTCATTCCAAGTAATTATGTTAATCCAGTCCTAATGTACATATTAACATGGCTAGGGTGGTTCAATTCAGCAATAAATCCTTTCATATACGCTTTTTATTCACCTGATTTCAGAGTAGCTTTCTGGAGGCTCACAATAAAAAAATGTAAGAAGAATAAACGTTAAGAAAATGTATCATTTCAATTCATTGTAGGTAGTTTTACTGTTTATATTACAACTGGTAAATAAGATTCAGATCCGTATAAAAGATTCGATTGATACTGACAACGTCTGCTGAACGATCGAATTTCGTTTCTAAAGAAATGGGATACGTTTCAAATTGATTTGCAGTTGGTTTTTGTTTCTAGCAGTAATCGTTATCATCTTTCAGTATTTACAGGCTACTGTTGAAATATTATTCGATTTCTTTAGATGCTTTTGTAAATCAGTTTGGGACTTGTTCACGAAAAGACGTTATTTATATTATAAAAAGGTTTTATTTAGCTTGCCTCGTTTGTTTGTTTGTTTAGGTCTTGGCACTTCCCAAGGTATATCAAAAAACTAATTACTCTGGCTGAATACTAATATTAGTCCTTGATGTCACTTTTGTCCCTCGAGGGTAACCACTATGGAAGTTTGCCGGTCTCTTTTTAACCCGTTCCTTTATCACAAATCGGTATGATATTGTATTTTTTATTATATTCACAATTACCTCAATTATGGATATTAAACGTAATAATTTGATTGGTAATAGAATAGAGCTCACTAAAACCCGGAGCCCAAGTGGTGGTCCGGAGGTTTAAGACGTCCGCTTCTCATGCACGAGGGTGCGAGTTCAAAACCTACCAATATCAAGAACCAATGTGATTTCTTCCGAGTTATATGTACTTTCTATGATTATTTAGACGCCACTGACAAACGGTGAAGGAGAAACATCGTGAGGAAACCTAGACTTATAATTTCTATTTACAAGTTTGAAATCGCCAACCCGCGTTGAGCAAACGTTGTGATTAATGCTCAAATCTTCTACATGTGAGAAAAGGCTTAGCTCAGCACTAAGCATTTATAGGTTGTTGATGTGATGTGAAAACCGTTTAACATAAACAATATTTTATGTAGTACTTTTTGTTATTTCATTTGGGACATTTTCAGCTTTATTAGTTCCTTTACCTTTGTTCTGAATGTGTAATAAACGTAAGATAGTTTTCTGTGATATGAGGTTTTATATAACATATTACAACCAGGTTAATGACATTCTACATAAAATGAAATTGGGAAATTGCTGGTGGATCATAAAAAGTTTGTGTCGCACCGTAAAATTTGAAATTCTCTGAATTATTTTGTCTATTCCATGTTATAGGTCAAATGTCTACTAAATGTTTCTGTTGCTAAGTACATACTTTAAGTAATTAGAAAATTAATTTAGGCTTCAGTATCTTTGTGATTAATTATGTGAAAGTTTTCTAATGAGGATTCATTTAAAAGTGTATTAATTTCATAGTTCAAAAAGACCAAAGAAAAATGTTTAAAGTGTCACATTTGTTTAAATTTTATATATTTTTTTCCCATTAAAATTTTAAGGCAACAAATATACTTCTACATTTTATAAGAATACAGATGAAGATAAAACAATAATGCACAAATTGTTAAACATTTTAGCTCAATGGTCGCTCACATAGTTTTAATTATCAATTTTAATCAATGTTTAATGATTTTGAAATCATATAATGTATAAAGAACTATATTTAATGAAGAAATATAAAAAATGTAAAGCAATGACAATAGGGTATATGCCTAATTTTTATTATAATATCCGTCTGGTAGATTATTTTAAATCATTAGACACGTATTTTTCATTTTCTTACAGAAACTAATACTTTCGACGATATATTGATTTGAAATGTCGCATGACGTCACTTCTATGTACATATTATACGTAGAAATGACGTTTTAGCTCCCACTCCTAAATTTTGATTCGTTTTATCTAAGTATTGATTTATTATACGACAAAATAAAAAAATACGTGTCTAATATGTTTTCATTACCTAACTTACGGACTAATTATATTTTTAATTTTAAAACCCTGTCATCATCCCTATTGAAAATGGTCGTAAAAACTTATAAATACAATGTTATTAATTAGAAGTCATTATCATAGAATTAGAATGACGATTTGTAAATAAAAAACTGTTTTATACAAAAACAAATTATGTCGTCGAGGTGTAGCTGGTACATCAAGCTACTCTTTCTAACTACAAACCATTTCCGACTTTATTACAATAACGTTAAAGTTGAACATTGTGTGAGTAGCTTGATGTGCTGGTCTGTACTACAAACATACAAACATCGATCTCATAGGTTTAAGGTAATATTTTATCATTAAAATTATAATGAAATTATTTTCTTTGTTTTATTTTACTTCTCCGAAAAACTTATTCTCATTATACAGGAGTGATACCACGGCCTCACAGAAAACAGACGTGAAACAACGCTTGCGTTGTGTTTCGTCGTGTGAGTGAGGTTACCGGAGGCCCAATTACTCCCTTTCTCAGTCTTTCCAATCCCCGACTCCTCCACAATCCTCAAACTCCTAATTTTCAAAAGGCCGTAACGCACTTGTAACACCTCTGGTGTTTCGGGTATCCATGGGCGACGCCGATTGCTTACCATCAGATGATCAGTCTTATCGGCCTATCTCATAAAAAAATACATTGACAGGTTCGTAATTCAGTGAGTCTTGGAAGGTGTTGTGCGGCATAAATAGCTATTTTTTTTAATGTGGTCAATCTTCAGTTGCATGAAGTCTGTTGTAGGTTTACTCCCCTCGATATTGGATTCCTATCACAAATGTTGAAAAATATTTGTTTTGACGTCGAAAGGTAAACTGTCAAACGGATCACCTAATGGTAAGCAATTGATAACATAAACACTCGCAATACTAGAGAAGACATTACGATTTCGGAATTGGGAATTAAGGGTAACATTTAATGTACCTCTGTGTACCTCATCTTTTAAAGGGGGAAAATCATCGTATCACTTCTCTTGCCTGAGTGCGGCGGGAGGGAGTGTCAAACTCGTACTGACTAAAAATTATCTAGTTCCTACGCATTTCGAACCGGAGTCCCAGTAACCTTTTACGTGTTCCGCGGATCCATGTCGGCATCAGCCCTATTAGTCCCATCCGTTGTGGTCTGATGGGTCTTAGAGGCGCGCGCGGAACGCGATGCGCCGTACGCTCAACTCTGGTTCTGGTCGCGCGACGAGCTCTGTCTACCCCTTAAATGAACAAAATACTTAACCTTGGGCAAGAAAATACACAAAACATAACATCACGCCTTTTTATCCCCGAAGGGGTAGGCGTAGGTGCACACAGAAGTAGCACCCACTTTTCACTATTTATGTTATGAGTCCCATGTAATAAAGGGTGAGCCTATTGCCATATACCGGGCACATTTCCAGACTTCGTGCTACTACTGAGATTTTTTATTAAACCCAGTAATACTTTGCCCGACCCGAGAATCGAACCCGACACCCCTTGCCCGGCAGTCGCACTTGCGACCACTCAGCCAACGAGGCAGTCTGATAGTCTGTCAAATACCTACACAAAAATAATAATAATAAATTATACGCAAGATATTTTTTCATTAAAGTGATTACTTGAATTGCAGAAGCTGACGTTTGTATAAAAGGCTCTTCCACTAATGAGAAGTGGCCGACGTATTAATTATTAACGAAGAAATGTCCCAAAAGTCCAAAATGGCCACTTGTAATAACGCTTGTAAAAATAATTTCTTATTATAATGATAATGATTATTATTATAATTTAGAAATTACTTTGGTAAGTAAATTGGTTTTGGAACTGGACCCATAATATCGGTATGATTTTAATAGTTTAATTTTTAATAGTTTTTTTTATGGGATAAGCTGGAAAACGAGCAGACGGATCACCTGATAGTCAGCAATCGGCGCCGCTGTGGACTCCTGAAACACTGGACACGTTACAAGCGCGTTACCGCAAACAAGTGCGTTACCTGCCTTTTGGGAATTATGAATTTAAGGAGATTGGGGAGGGGGGTAATTGGGCCTCTGTTAAATGGTCTGACATTCTGGTTTTGTCTTTATTTGACAACACTGCTTCGTTGATGAAGGGTATATCTCTCTTCGAATAACATATTTCAACCAATATATATAATTCTTAATCTTATACTATTATATAGGTATAAGTCTGAAGAGTTTGTTAGTTTCAACGCACTAACCTCAGGAACTACTGGTCCGATTTGAAAAATTATTTTTGTATTGGATAGCCCATTTATAAAGAGAGGATATGGGCTATAAAACTACGCTACGATCAATATACGCAAAGCAGAGCAAGTAAAAACGCGCGAAGTAGCTAGTTGTAGAATAAAATTGACATTTGATATTACTTAATATGGAAGAACTGTTAAATAGTCAAAATTATTCCTCCGCTAACTGGCTAACCGCTAGCTGGCGTTGGAAAAATCGGCCCTTAAAGTATTAATGAAAACTAAAAAGCTATTACAAATATAATAACACCGTCAAGATATTTTTGAGTTTCTTAATAAAACATAAGCTTTTTTTAAGGGGGTAAAATCATCGAATAACTTCTCCCGCCTGCGTGAGGCGGGAGGGAGTGTCAGACTCTTACTGACTAAAAACCACCCCGTTCCTTCTCCTGCACATCGAGCCGGAGCCCCGGTTACCCGTTAGGTTCTCCGCGACAAAACATAAGCTTACAAAGAAATTCAAGAAAGTTTGTGAAAATTAACAGGGTTTACACATTTTTTTAAATATTTTTTAAGTCCACAACGATATTACAAAATAACGAACACCTTAAGCTTAGACTTGAATAAAATTCTAGAATTTCAGGTGATTTTGAACGCGTTTGTTGTTTTTTACATTACATTGGAAATGTGTTAAAATTTACGACTGAAAAGTCTGTACTTACTTTTTTCTTTTATCTTGCCACGTAACTGTTTATGTAGCAAGAAAAAAGTGTTGAAAATATCATATAATTTTTCTGCCAACTGACAGACAACAGCTATTACTAAGCATTTTTTTTAATATTGTTATTTTATTTCTTTCTCTATTTCAGCATATGAGACTTAAATGTCCAGATAACCTTATATACACATACTAGCGGACCCAACAGACGTTGTCCTGCATAT